AGGGTTTGGGGTTTAGGGTTTCCAGCTGAGGATTTAGAACTGGGCGCCTCGGTGTCGGACGCAGGGCCTCTCATCGGGGCGGCGTTGGATGCGGCTGCTCCAAGACTGGGATTTCCTGCCCCTGCCTGCCATGCAAGAAGGAGAAAACCATGCACGTGTATCGTTCAGGGCAGGCCTCTTCCCCCTCTTTGGGCGCAACTCCAGCGGCATCCTGCAAGAAATGAGAGGTTAGAGGGCGGTAGTGTGAGAGTATAATTTTTGTGCGAGAATAAATGTGAGAGTAAAAAATTTTGTGAGAGTAAAAGGTTGTTGTCACAGACGTGCCTCGGGCTGGCCAGCAGCAGTAGCGGCGTCAGCAGCTGCCTGACATGGTACCACAAACAGAACAAAAGTCCCCCAAAAGCATGTGTCTCAGCCTTGGATGGCACAGCGCGTCCACGGAGGTCCTGCCAACACAAGAACACATCTAAATTCTCAAGCCGGGTTCCTGCTTATTGTGCGCCTGGGCCACGCCGGGCTCCTGCTTCTGGTGCGCCTGGGCCACACGGGGAGCCGATCCCATGGAGGCCTGCCGGGCAGCCGAACAATGAAAAAAGATCTACGCGCGCTATATCTCCAAGTTGCAAAACCAGCCTTGGGTCGAGGGGCTATCGTTTGCCCGCCCGGCTGACGCCACGGCGCGTGCTCCTGCGCATACACAAAAAGTGCAACATGCGGCGTGGGACTCAAAAAGGTTGCGCAAAGGACATGTCCTGCGCAGGGCGCGCTTTCGGCTTCAGCGCCGGTGCCAAGCAGCGGCAGCTTACGCCACACGCCAGGGGTTTAGGGTATAGGGTTTAGGGTTTCAGGCTTAGGGCTTACGCAGCTTATAGGGTTGACACCGTAGTATGCTTTAGGAGTTTAGGATTTAAGGTTTAGGATCAGGATTTGGGATTTTCGGGATGAGGCTGGAATATGGTTTCAGGGTTCTAGGATTTATTCTTTTGTTTCAAGGCTTGCAAGATTAAGTTTTTAGTGTGAAGGAGCATGAAGGACTGTAGAAGTTGAAGGCAAGGGAATGTGATAACTATGGAAGCTATATGTCTGGGCGCGTGGGACTGCGTAACTATATATATATATAAACTTACTTGTAGTCTCGCGATATATAGCTATAGGCTTTTTTTTTGCGTATATATGACAGTCTACATAGTACGCATCAGTAGGCAAGTATGTATATAATGCACAGTTGGAGTTACCAAGCTAGGTTTTTCCTACCACGACAACCCAGGGCACCAGGTTTCCTAGCGCAACTTTCGCATAGTCTGTGGTTTGAGCACGGCAACGTATGGGCCACACCTCAGCCAGCAGTTGTAGTTATAGAGGTATACCAAAAGGTCCATGAAATCCAGGGCCCCAGGTTTCCTACCAAAACTTTCACTCATCCTGGTTTGAGCACGACAACGCAAGCCACACTTCAATAACATGTACTGCAACAGATTGACATGCTAACGCTCTGTGACATTCACAAGCCATGCCCTTGTCCTCCCACCATTTACTCTCACAAACCCTATGCCCACTACTCTCACAGGGCCTACCCTCACTACCCTCACCAGCGCCCTCTACTCTCACAGGCCCTACCCTCACTACCCTCGCAACCCCACCCTCCCTACCCCTTCTCTCACTACCCTCACCACATGTCCTGCCCCCAAAAGGAAACACAAGAGGTTGAGGGTTTGTGGGTTTGGGCTTTAGGGTGTCTTGGGAATATGAGGGCGAGTATGTCATTTGCATGTGTGGTACTTGGGGTTCATGGTCAGGAGTCTACATTTTTGCAGCATATAAACATTGTTTGTCTTTTTTCACGCTCGCGGGCGAGATCTACTCCTGGCGCTTTGGCAAGGGGGGGGACTTGGGTGTCGGCGCAGGCTCTCCACGGTACATGACCTGATTCAAAGTTCGAACCGGCGGCTCGGAGTCGGCGTGCCCTTCGCGGCGGCGGTGGCTAGGCTTGGCGCAAGGCGGCGCCGAAGTGGAGCGAAGAAGCGGCGGGCGGCGAGCCTGCCACAACAACCCTGGCTGGCAAAACACCATGAAGTTCAAGTACAAGCCGGCAGCGCCGGAGCCCTGGGCAGGAGATCAACATACTGAAGCGGCCCAGGAGGCAGCATTACGCTCACATGAGCAGGCGTCGCTGCGAACTGTTGGAATCTGTGCTTTCGGAGCCACCAATGCACAACTCCACACACACGCAACATGTCCAAAATTGCTGTCACAAACTGAGCGCTCGCAACCAGCATATACTCTCAGGAATCTTATGCTCTCACACATCAAATATACTCTCAGGAATCTTATGCTCTCACATCAACATCCTTCACGCGCACAGCAGAGATTGGAAATATGTATGCAACACCCTTGTCCTATAAGACGAAAACCTTGGATTTTGAAAGGTGCAAGCCTTGTCAACCATGGGCCCTAAAGTTTGGCCCTAAAGCTTACCATGTCCGAGGTTTCATACTCTAAACACCACACGCGTAAGAATCCTAGCCTGTCACCCCATAGGTATATGGGTTACAGGTTATAGAAAAAGCCATAAAACGAACTTGCCGCTTCTTTTCCCAGCGGATATTCAAGCCTCCATCTCGTGCTTCCTGGCCAAGGCCTCCTCAAGCGAACAGCCACCCTCCAGCATCCGCCTCACAGCTCGGTAGCGGCGGTCTCAAGCTGCTCCGGCGTCCAGTCACTCCTCCCAACCTGCAAGAAGAAGAGTAAGCGCGGGTCGATGCGCCCGCGCCAGGGCTACAAGTGCTCGGCTATGAGCACGCTATCAGGAAGTTCGCTAACAAGCTGGTTTCCCAGGAAGGCTACAAATTTGGAGAAGCCCTCAAGAAGGCGTGGAAAGACGCCACGATAAAGGAGAGACATTTCATCTCTCCGCTATCCCTCTATGG